AAAAAATAAAAAAAAAAATTCAAAACTTTTTTTCAATCGAAATTTAAAAAAAAAACGTACCGATCGAACGAAGAATCCCTTGCCTCCGCATCGTGGTGGTGCCGACATTTTTTTGGAATTTTTCGGACGTAAACCGGGCAAATTTGAGAGAGAGAAAGAGAGGAGAAGAGAGAGAGAGAGAGAGAGAGAGAGTGTGGAGGGGCAAATTTGGTATTTGAGGGGGCGGTAGATATCGAAAAGGGGGCGGTGTTTAGTGTTTCAGTAACTTAAATTATGCATCTTTTAAGTGTGATGTTGCATATAAAATAGCTCAGTTTGGTCGTGTTTTGGCACTGGTGTAACGATATCAAGTAATTAAACTAGCCCAAAAATTGGCTAATATCTCTAAGATATTATTATCTAAATAAACGACATCCAACTGGATTTAAATATATTTATCCTTGATTCGGGTAGATTCAAGCCCTACATGATTAAAAAATCCTTTATTTATTTTGTTTGTTTAGGTACAATCACTAATGTTTTATAAATACGGGATTCATATTCATTTTCAACAGGATATATATTAATTCTTTATAAATTATATGATACTTTTTATGATTCAGAGATTGACTTGAGCGTCAGAGTATCTACGCTAGGATCTGTCCACGGCCCTATTTTGTAGGTAATCAAAGCGGTTCAAGGACAGTTTGAGTCTGTTCACTATTCGCGGTAAGTATTGGTTTCTATTTACTATAAACATGTCCATTGCATGCAGTTTGCCTTGATGGGTCATCTATTTAGTTTTTGAAAAAACAACTAATTATGCGTGAAAAAAATAAATTAAAATAGAGATGGATTCGTGATGAGATTTATTCACCTTTCGTTGATAATGAAATTAAGTGAGATTAAGAGCATCTTCAATGCTCAAATGTTGTTGTGGAAATTACATTTCACATCAACACATTTAGCAATATCACAACTTTTCATCATCCAATGTACAATGTGATCACAATTGTTGTTATGATGTGGACATAATTAATGTCTACAATGTAGAGAAGAATGTGGTTCATCCACATTTTCCTCCACATTCGAGCTAGCCTATGAAGAGAAAAGATAGAATATTTTTTACCAATTCAAAACAATTTAATTATTTAATTAATTTGCTTATTACATATTATAAAATTTTTTATTTGGTAAGTAAATAGAATTGTAGTTAGACTACATTGTGCATTGGAGATAATTT